TTAATTGTACTTTTTATACGTTTCTAACATTGGAATTTATGAAGGCCTAGAACTAAGGTAGCGGAGTAGTGTTCCCTTAGTTTAGGTTCTAACCCATTTGACTTTATCCCTTCTCGAAGCCTGCTATCGTTGAATTCTGTGTATACTGCTCATCATGTTTCATCTTTATATTTTTGGTCGGGTCTTACGTTTCTGTCTATATGCAGATATTTTTATGCAGAGGTTTATTTGCAGGGATTACTTCACATTACAGACGTGCATATGAGGACTGCATATGAAGATTGTTCAACTACGTATTTTATTTATTTATTTAAGCATGCATTACATTTTATCTTTATTATTAATTTTTGACTGGCCGGAGGTCATCCACGGAAGCTGCTCTCAACCTGGCGTTGGTGGACAGCCTACTACCCTACCTCCCCCTTACCCCATTACATATGTGAATAGGGTTTTGTTGTTGTTGTTGTTGTTTCATCATTGTATTGAAAGATCATGTTAAATCTAGTGAATGCATTTCTTGAATCTCTTAATTCTTTTCCAAAAATCTACTCTCTTCTATTCAATTTATAACAGACGTCATGACACTAACGAAAGTAACCACAACTTAATTAAATAAAAACGAAAAATGACCAAATATTATGTTTTTTGAATTCAATAAAGAAAAGTTTACGAAAATTAAACGAAAGTGACCATTTATGTAGTTTACCCATTTTGAAAACCCTAACCTTTTTCGGCCGCAGCTCTTCGCCACACTAGAAACCCACCCCTTTTAATGACTGTTTCTACTAAGCTTCCTAAAACGGCGGTTCCTTTCTTCACGATCTTCTTGCTTCCGTGTTCGAATCACTGTTTCAACTGAAGATAAGAAGACGATTTTTACCCTTCAGAAATCTCAAGAAGCTCTCAATGCCAGTCACGGTCATTCTCAACTCTTTCCCTTCTCTATCTGCTTACTTGTCGATTGCTTGGATCTTGCCCAGCTAAAGCTCATTTTTTTTAATTTTGTTTAGATTCGATTCATTTGGTGATCATCCCGATCTGGGTTTCTTTGTGTGTAAAGTATAGAATGAATAGAAAAAATAACTAGAAATCATCATCATTATATATATTTAAATATTGTTGTAATATCATTCGTTTGAGAAGATATACTGTTTTAATCCTTACATAATGATTACCATAGTTATTCAATTACTAAATTGTTGCCTTTTTTATACGGCTGAAACACAATAGCAGGAAGATGGAGACAAAGCAAAGGAGAAATGCTTCATTTGGTTATTTCCTGATCTCAGCTCTTGTTATCAGGTCAACGAGAAGGCAATGATCGAGGCCAACGCTATTAATGAACACTTGAGGCAAAATGAAAGATTTTGTAGAGTTCTTCACCATCTTGTTGTTGATCTTAGACCCGTGATTAATGGGATGGGAGGTGTAGGAAAGATTGAATTAGCGTTTGACATATTGGATATAGTCCATGAAAGAGACGAGGGAAGGACTCAAAAGATGATATCAATCTAATAACAACTAAAAGAGAAGGAAGAAGAATAGAAGGGTGGAGCTTTACAAAGTTTTTTGTTGTCGTAAAAATAAATAATTTTGGCTTGATCTAATAGATATGATGTTTGTTTTTGTGGAAGATATCTTTCGTAGTTTCGGAAGAGATATTGGCAGCATCACCTGAAGTAATATCTTTCATCAATTCTTCTTTTTCAGGTTTCAAATGAAAAGCAAAGTAACTGGAGCAAAAAAACATAAAGGAGGGTCCAAAGAATTTACTCACAATGAAAATATGGTCAATATATGACATTGATTAGTGTTTATTTCACTTTATTCAATAGAAGACGTATGGGATGAAGTGATGTCATTGGTAAGCAACCTTGATGGTTCTTACGAAGAGTACACAACAGAAGACGTATGGGATAAAGTGATGTAATTGGTAAATAATCTTGATGGTTATATTGGTTTGTGTTTATTTCACTTTACAGAATAGAGAGGTATGGGATAAGGTGATTTCATTGGTAAGCAAGTTGGTTTCCTCGCCCATATAGGTTGTGGGAAAAATGATTTTCCCATACAAGATACACACTACATTATTTTCTGAACTAGGGCTTCTTATTGGTCTGAATAGGCCGTGCACTTTTGGGGTCTTCTCCATTTGCTTGAAGATGTCATGCAATCGTGGGGTCGTTTTCATTTTCATGAAGACACCATGCAATCGTGGAGTCTTCATATTTAGTTTGGAGATACGTGGAGTATCTAGCGTCTTTAGGTTAGTACTGTACAATTCAACTTAGAAGAGGAAATAATTCCCGGGTGGATTATATTGAGAATTTTTTGCCCACTTCATTTACTCGACCATTTTAAGATTGATGGTTCTCACGAAGAGTACACAATAAAAGATGTATGGGATAAAGTGATGTCATTGATAAGTAACCCTGATGGTTCTCACGAATAGTATTTTCATATTTTGTATGGGTTATGTTATGTTAAGGTTGTAGTTAATCTATATACCGACACCTTATTAAAATGTTTATAAAACAAGTATATGGAATCACTTGATAAAGTTTCATAGCATAAATTTAAAGAGTCGTAGGATAATTAAAAAAAAAAACTCAATCAAATTATAAAATTATATCATTAACCATAGTTTTATCATATAAAATAATAAATTTTAGTTTCCACTTAAAATAAATAAGATATCAATCTTAAGAAAAAAATATAATTTTAAGTAACAATTTTCTATTTAAATCTTAAAAAGTAAGGGTAAACTACATTAGATACCATCGAACTTTAGATTGTTTATATCACTGAACTTTCAATTTTGCCAATTATAGTACTGAACTTTGATTGTCGCTTCAATTATACCATTGAACCGTTAAATCGTTAATGGAACAACGATGTAGGTAACAGCTGCTGAAATGGCTGACGACTTTTGATATATACACCTCACCAAAACGATATCGTTTCAATCTAATTGTTAATGATTTAAAGGGCCAGTGGTATAATTGAAACGGAAATTAAAGTTCAGTGCTATAATTGATAAAATTTAAAGTTCAGTGGTATAAACGATATAATGTCTAAAGCTCGGTTGCATCTAGTGTAGTTTGCCCAAAAAATAATTGAGTAGACAACAAAGACTTGGTAAATCTTCATCGTTGATCGCCATTACTTCGTATACATCTAATGATGCAGCACTTTCGCACTAGATCCCAAGTAGAGCAGGCAAATGCCTAAAAAAAAGGGTAAAATACACTGTTTCTTACTGAACTATACTCTTTCTCTTATTTCCCTCACCCAACTTTCAATTTTTCTATTTTGCTCACTGAACTTTACAAATTGAATAATTTTGCTCACTATATTGTTAACTATTTAAAGGTCAGTGAGGAATTGTGTAATTTACCCTTTTTTCTTTTCTTTTTCATTTTCTCTCTATTGGCCACCAACCATTTTTCATTCTGGCCACAGTCCACCATCGTTGATAGTGGTTGTTCGGTCCCAAATTTCATGGGTCAGTTCATCTCAACCCCTAAGTCTGAATCTGGTGGTTGTTTCACCGAAAAATATCCCCAAACCAGTGAATCTCTACTGAAACATTTCGATTCCCTCGCTTTCAATCTCAAATTTATGGATATTGAAGCAAGTTCCCACAAAATGGAGGTCGGATTCGAAATCACAATGTTGAGGCGAAGCGACCTATGAAATTTGAAACCGAATGACCACCATCTACAGCGGTCGACGATAGTCGGTGGTGGGATTTGGAACCTTCTATTTTTTACTATTTTCTCAATTATTTTATATTAAAAATAATAAAAATTGTCACATCATCAAAACATTAGAGAGTTAACGGGAGAGTGAGCAAAATGATTCAATCTGTAAGTTCAGTGAGCAAAATAAAAAAATTGAAAGTTAGGTGAGTAAAATAGGAGAGAGAGTACAGTTCGGTGATGAGTAGTATAAGTTACCCTAAAAAATAAAACCCTACTTTTCTTCCTCCTCTTGGTTGCCACCACTATTTTGAAAACTGGACCGGACCGGCCGGTTCAACCGGGAACCGCTGTCTAGTCCGGTTCAATCTATACCGGTTGAACCGCTACTAGTGAACCGGTAGGAACCGCTGAACCGTTTGAACCGGACCGGCTGAAAACCGGGAAAAACCGCCAATTTTGTTTTTTTTAAAAAAAAATTAAACCAAACGACGTCGTTTGTTAAACGAGCCAAGTCAAACTCGAGTATTGTTGAGCTCGACTCGAACTTGAAAACTTTAAAAGTAAGATCAACTCGACTCAAACTCACGAGCTAAAAATTATCAAGTTCAACTCGAACTCAAAATATAATATTGAAACTTGAATTCGAAAAGGCTTGAACTCAAAAAAATTTTAGAAGCTCGATTGAAGCATAAAATTCGAGTTTAATTGAAGTGAAAGAATAGTTCACTCAATGCTCACCAAAAGGCTACATGATTTTGAATGCCAAATTACCTCTATTATTTATAGAAGTTAGTTGGGATGCTCTTCTATGTTTCTTAGCCATGTGAGATTGTTTTGTTCTCATATTTTTACTCTTTAGACTTTTGGGATGCTCTTCTATGTTTCTTAGCCATATGAGATTGTTTTTTTAAAAAAATTAAACCAAAAAATATCATTTTGTTATGATTTTTTAGCCCCAAATTTATTTTTTAATTATAGTTATATAATTATATTTATTATTTAATATGTTTTACCTTAAATATTATGTTGTAGTTAATTTGAATCATTTTGTTTCACTTGATTTTATGGTTTTTAACTTATATATGTTATGACTTGTTTTGAATATGACTTGTGATATAAAAAATTATTTTTTATTAAATATTTTTGGTATTTTTATTTAATTTTTTAAATAATTATGGCGTCGTCCGGTTCTTCCGACCGGTCGTACCGGTTCGACAGGTTGAACCAGTGAACCGGTAGCATGACCGGTTCGTTAACCGGGCCGGTTCGTTAACCGGGCCGGTTCTGAAAACCATGGTTGCCACCTTTCCCCATAGATTCAACATATTTTTCACGGGTAATTCTCTTTTCCCGTTAGGAACAAAAACATGGCTAATTATACGTGTTGCTCTGTGAGAGATTAAGGAACTTTTAATAGAATATATGAAAAAAAAGAAATTAAATTTCGTTTGATACTCAAAGTTTTACTTTTTGTTTTTAGCTCTTTTTAAGCGAAGCAATTTCTCTGTTTTCATGGCGTAATTTGGTTCATGCTTTTGTCACAGTGAGTGACCCAATATTGTACTTGTCAAAGTTAGAATACTTAAACATTGCCATTGAGTGGTTGATTTGATGATGTTTTGGTTTGGTTTGGTTGGAAGATGACAATTTTATGTTTATATGTGTTTGCTTGTCGAGAAAATGAAGGAAATTTTAGCCTTAACTTTGTTGTGGTGATTGGGCTTTAGTAAATTTGACTGATCTTAATCTTTTTGTGTTGGATGATTGACATAGGGTAAACTGAAAATGAGTCGAGGTAGTATGGCGGGATCGAAGGGGAAGAAGAAGGGAGTTACCTTCACTATCGATTGTTGGAAGCCAGTGGAGGATAAAATCATGGACATTTCCTCACTGGAAAAGTTTCTTCAGGAGAGAATTAAGGTCGGAGGCAAGGCCGGCGCACTCGGTGAAACCGTAATGATCACACGCGAGAAGAGCAAATTCACCGTCACTTCCGACGGAGAATTCTCCAAGAGGTAAAATGATAAGAGATTGCTCGATTTGCGGTAGGATAGGATTGTACTTTTCTACTGGCATTAGTGTCTCTTTCTATCATAAGCTTTCTTGGAGCATGAGTACTTAGAAAACATTGAGGAAGATACTCAAGTAACCTTTTCGGCTCACTTCGAATCGAGGTCGGTTTTTATCGTCTGTGGTTATGGTTGCATTATTTGCTTCCATATCCGACCAATAACTCGGAGAACTTGCATTTTATATAATGAATTTGAGTAGAACTAGGGTAGACATATTCTTTATCAGTATGTTATGAATGTAAAATGTTGAGGAAGATACTTGCTTAACCTTCAATTTGAGGTTGGTTTTGGTAAACTTCTCTTATGGTAGCATTCTTTGCTTCGAGCTCCGAGTAACGACCCCCGTGTGCGGTCGGTCTTGGTTTCGTGGCCAGTATTAGTTTCATTTGCTTATGAAGTCTTCAACTGCCATTTTTCCAAGTTATATCGCTGGTAGTTTGTGATACAAGAAGGATTGTCTGGCATTGTGCTGGGACATGTTCATCCAATTTCTCCATTTTTTGTCTAGGTATCTGAAGTGCTTAACGAAAAAGTACTTGAAGAAACATAACGTACGGGATTGGCTCCGAGTGATTGCATCCGACAAAGATCGAACTGTTTACGAATTAAGGTACTTCAACATTGCTGAAAATGAGGGAGAGGAGGAAGACTGATATCTGGGGGAACGACTAGTTGTTTGAGGCTTCGAACTATGAGGTTTATGATCTTTTTGTTACTTAGTGAACATGGGATTTTGCAATGCCCCTGTATTACCAATTGAATGTATTTTATGTTGTGAGTTCTTCGGTAAAGCTCAAGAGTGATTGGAGTTTTTGTCATTTGATTGTTGGCTAATAATAATTGTTTCCTAATGTTAGCATTTCAGCTGCAAGGGCTATTGTAGTTTAAAAAAACAGTGAAATCGGGTCGGGTCGGGATTGTTTAGGGATTTGGGGTTGTTTCTACCGTATTCATCGAAGTCGTCGTGCAGTCCAGATGATTATGGCAAAGTAGTTCTACCTTTATTCAAAGGGAACTCGTCGTACATTTCCGACGAGTTTCCGACGAGTTTTCTTTTATATAAATTAAAAGGGACTTGGTGTGTAGTCTCAACAAATTTCCCAATGCATATAACAAGTTCAAAAAATTCAGGGGAAGTAATGTTATATTGTATGAAGCCAGGAATTATATATTCATGCCAAAGATGGGGAATCATATCTTCCTAGAAACTCTCCACGTCGTCTCCAAAATCAACTCATATTTTTCTTCAATAACACGCAACCCCAACGTGCAATGTTCTTCCACTATGTGCCTGCAATTTCTCATCACCCATACATACATACATTCATCTTTCATTCATATCTTCAATCCTTTGGTCAAATGTGAAGTTCCCCGGCACCACCATTTTCTATTTTGGACTTGAGAATCTAGCCAAGACTAGGCCCTGCATTTGATGCTCACCCATGTTTTTGCTTGACTTACAAGCCAAATATCTAACTTTTCTCATTTTACTCCCCCTCCCATTCTTGCACTCAAACCCCTCTCTCAAAAGCAGCTGTTTAATACTCAAACTTTATTCTCCTAAAATAATTCTTGGTCTTGATTTAAATATATATATATATATGTATATTGATGATAACAAATGGGTGTAGTCAGTCATTAATAATTTACCCCTTTTAATTTAGATTGTAAGCTACTATCGATAAAGAAATGGTGGTTGGATTAGCGTTTTTCTGTGTGAAAGAGAGATTGTCATAAGGAAGAAGATGAAGACGAGGGGTAGAATGCCCGGGGGGGGGGGTTTCAACCCCTTTTTCCAGTCTTGGTTGAAAGTACTTGGTATGTGTCAATCGTAAAATTATTATGGTTATTTGTAGGTCGACAGATTATGCATATACGATAGTTAGATTTTAGATTTTCTTCTGATATATCATGTGGACCTGTTATAAATCTTGCCTAAAGATCTTATCTATGCAATATAATTAGCTCGAATGCCTTACCCGAAAGAATCGGGTTCTTTAGAGCCTCATGTAAGCTGAGGGAGCATGTATATTTAATACAAATGTAACTTTAGTTCAACACACGTTAAGTATCTGAACTGTGTTAATGCACACAGGATGGCAGTAAAAAAAATAAATAAATGACCACACCATTCTCACTGATCTCCCACTGCCTCGCTATCCAATTTCCCTAAGCAGCAATTTTACTCCAGTTTTCACACTGGTTTAGGTAAAAACACCATTTGTTTTTACCCAACAAAGACTTGGAACTACGAGTTCAACAAGTAAAAATGATGAGATATTAAAGAATTTTAATGTTTCGATAAAAATCTTGTGATTCACACATGATGATGATGAGAAGAAAAAAATCTTCACACAAATGACCTAATTCATATATAATAGAATATATATTTAAATTTTTTTAACCTAATGATAATATATATCTCATATATGTAATTATTCGAATTTGAATCATGTATTAGAAAAGAACATTCATTTACTGATTAACGCTCGTACCCCTCAATTACTGAGGTTACTTGGTTCGTGCTCATAATAAATAAGATTAAATATTCAAATAAAGGTCTATTTGTTTTAGAGAAAATTAAAGAATATTTTTGAAGATTATATAAACCCACTAATCAAGCAAGGGTTAGTAGATACTTAGCTTTAAAGAATGTATAAACCCGCTAATAAAAAAAACCAGTGACGAAATAAGATTCACTGCAAAATCTGTGTCAAATTTCAAGGTTCATATCCTTGGAGGTGATAGCATGAAGGAATCAAATTCAAAGGACCCCACAACTTTAGCTCTCATTGCTTGAGCTAGTGGTGATTGGTTTTATGATCCTATAGAGAGAGTGTCATGAATCAATGGGTTTGCATCATTTTTTTCATATTGATTTTTTCCCCTAGGGTATGGCCTTTTAGGCCTATATGAAAAATAACTTGCATTGGGGAAGTGTCTTTAAAGAATGCCCACTTCAAGACTCAATCACAATAACTCTCTTCTTCTCTCTCTCTCTCTTGTAAAAACTGTGTATAAATACAAGAGGGTTCCTTTCACTTTCTCCACTCATCACCTGTAATTTACTTCAAAAGAATTTGACGTTTTTGCCATGGTGATTGGGGTGAGTTGCCCTCGTTGGAGAAGCAGGGCACGTGCAAGTTTTACGTGTCTTAAACGAGCCTTGCACGTGCTCCCCTTCTCCACCACGAGTTCCTCACCTTTGTTTGCAGTGCAGACATGTCGAGAAAGGTAAATCATATGCCTCAACTTTGATATCTGCCATGATTTCCTGTTCTTGTTTTTGCATTTGTAATAATATCTGGAAAAACAAGGTTCATGTAAGAACAGAATAATGCTGCATGCATGTAGGTATTTTGTATGTACTGATCAGATTTCTTGGTAGGTGACCCCATGTTTGCATTATGGCAATAAGCACAAGAAATACAAGTAGATTTCTTTCTAGGAAAACAAGAAGGCAAGAAAGTGATATTTGGAACATAAAATGACAATGGGGTTTGACCAATCTTAGCTTCCAACATGATGCAATTCAGATTGTACTTTGCACTGTTGACTTATTGTTGCCCTATTCATTTGTTTATTTTTAAAAAGAGTTTATGTTCGGTTCGTATTTATCTAAGTTTTTAATATCGTATTTGTATTCATTTATATATTTTTTAAAGTATTTATGTTCAATCATTTAGCGTTTACGAATATATTCGTTTAACATTAACGAGCATATTTATTTATATATATGAAAACATGTTCGTTTAACATTAATCAATACGTTGATTTACCGTTGATGAATATGTTGGTGAAATTATGTGACTAGTCCTTAAGCTCCATACAATTTAAACTCTAAAATTCATCATATTTTCAATTTAGTCATTATCTTTATCAATATATAAAATATAAAAAAATAAAAGGAAAAAGATAACCGTATAAATAAGCTTATAAGCGAGTCAATAAACGAATTTGTTCATAAATCTAAACAAATCAAATACACATTAGTTCGTGCTAGATTGTTTATTAAATGAATACTAAAATTTTATTCATATTCATTTATTTAACTTAAACGAACATCGATCAACGATATACGAATAATTCATAAGCAGTTTACCCTGTATCTATGCACACTCCTAGGTTCAGAACTCTCCCATTGGCGTAAGAGTTTATATAAATGGAAGATTAAGCTCATTTTTGGCAGTGAAGATCTGTAGATTTTGTAAGCAAAGTGGCAGTGGCAGTGCCTGCAGAATTTGGCTTGAAACCAGGGGACTCTTTGTAGTTGTTTTGGGGGTTTTGGTTAAGGACTTAGCCCTAAAGGAGGGTTGATTGTGATAGGGGAAATGGGTGTTGGAAATTGAAACGGCAGGGAACCTTAAAATGCAAGCAATGGTATTAATATCAGTCGCCAGTGGAGCTCGAGAGATAGTTGAAGCATAGAAAAAGAGGTGAGTCCAAGGATTTTAAATGTTTTATGTCGGGGATGTTTTCGGACACACAATGCACAAATTTCTAGGCCATCACTTTTTCATTAAAATTATAACAAATTTATTTTAATATTTTTACAATATCATTATAATATTCTTATTTTAATAATAAATAATAGGATAAACTATGTCTTTAGTACCTAAAGTATCAATTTTGTTATAATTTTTATTTCATTTTAATATACTTCAGTTAAAAACTTTAATTTTTGTTTCGTTTTAATACAACATTCAAATTTGACGTTAAGTTTTAATTTTTTTTTGAAAGTTTAGTTACTAAAATAGACCAAAATCGATAGGGTTGATACTAAATGCGTTAAGTTTTTAATGACAGAGTACTAAAATGAAATAAAACAAAAATTATGAGTCTTCACCGAGATTTATTTAAAAATAACTATTACTTTGTTTTGGAAAAATCAGGAATTTTGATGAAATTTTATTTTGGGAGTTGCTATAGATATTTGGGTAAGGAATGTCGAATAGCTAAAAAATATATTTTAAAATAATCTTCAGAAAAATTATTTTTAAGATAAAAATTGGTCTGCGTATTACTATAAATTCGTTTTTAAGGATTCGAGAGTCAATTACACGTTAAGAAGGCTGAGCACACCCCACAGTGCCCAAAATTAGTACCCTCAATTATATGTTATCTAAATAGTGAAATTTTACATATTTGAATTCAAAACTTAAATTATGATCCATTTATTTCTATAAATTATGATCCTTTTATATGTTGGTTAAAAAATAGATCCACTCATTTTTTTTAATTTATAGAAATAAAAGGGTCATAATTTACATTTTGGATTCGAATATGTAAAATTTCACTATTTATATAACATATAATCAAGGGTACCAATTTGGGTGTTGTGGGTGTGCTCACCCTTCCCCTTACGTAACCGACTCCTGAATTCTTAAAAATGAATTTCTAGTAATACTTAGATCAATTTTTGTCTTAAAAATAATTTTCCTTAACATTATTTTAAAATATATTTTTAGGTATTCGATCTACCTAACCCAATGGTTGATACCGACTCCAAAAATCATATTTCATAAAAAATCTTGATTTTCCCAAAATAAAGTCATAATTATTTTTAATTTTAATTTTCCAAAAAATGGTTATGACATTATATGAATTTAAAAAATTAAAAGCTTAAGTATTAAAACGGACTAAAACTAATAATTTAAATATTAAATGCGTAGTTTACCCTAAATAATACTATTTATTATTTTTAAAATAAAAGTTTTTAATGTTATTTTATTATATCTCA